ATTTGTAATCTACTCATTTGATAGATAATGCTCGTAGTTTTCTCTCAGGCTTCAAGACTCGCCCTATTTCACAACATCAAATTATTTAAAAGCATCTCAGTGCTTTATTGTGATAAGTCTTTGAAACAATGTTTTGAGTGCATTCAACCATCTTTAAAGTTGCAATTGTGTAAAATGTTTATTTAAAAAAGTGGATCAGATGGGCTTACTCTTTACAGTAGGCCTTTACGCTTAACAGCAAAGAAATCTTTGCTTTCATTTTCAAGCAAATTAATGGTGGTTTTTATAGTGGGTCAAAATTTGCGATAAGAAACAAATTTACGCACAAACAAGGCACTATTTTTAGTTGCATTTATCCAAAACACAGATAAATCAAACTCAAAATACGCACAAATGCAATACCGTGACTCACTTGACATTGCTTGCTCTTCTGTCTACTATTTCATGAATGTGAGGATGCGCGTCTGCACCGGTTTTAAGGAATTCCTCAAGAGCAGACTGTCCGTCTACGTCAAGGTCGTGGAATACGCAAACCTTTTGCCTCTACACGAAGAAATGATGATGTCAGCACAGGACGGTGGAGTGTGAGCGCATTAAAAACTTGAGCAATGCAAAAATTGGCTTGCAACAGAAATAAGTGCTTTACCCTTCTGATTTTACTCATATTTGAGATGAAAATCCACTAATGAATTCATTGCCAAAACTCATATGTATATTGACATGCAGGAGAGCCTTATCAATTTAACATCAAGTGGCGAATATCTCAGTGGTATAGTATTGAAGTTTTTGCTTTATTTTCTTTTTTTACTGAATTCTGGAATGCCAGAATTTATTGGTTTACCAAGCCGTGTACGTAAATACGCGTTAAGAACGAAAGCCTTGCAGGCAGAGCCATGCGTGCAAGGCTGCAAGTTGCTTCCAGAAAACAAATTTATATGCTTTATTATTACAAAATAAAGAGTTATTTCAAATTTGTGGATACGCAAACATATTAAAAATGCCTCCTGACTGTTGTCGTTAACGCACATTTGACGATGGAAATGAGCTAAAAATGAGTTAGGACGATAATAATGCTTTTAAGGCTGCATTGGGCAAAGTTCTAACTAATGGAGGAGTAGAGCGGAACCATTTATAAGAAGGTATAAACCCTCTAAATTTTTAATGCAGACTTGCCGAAGTATAAAATGGACACTCAATAGCCTATTATTTCTACACCACTTTTCTATACATATTGTTTTCGATTATTTTATTTACTCACCTTGTTGTGGGGCAATAATAATCGGTTAACTTAAGTGTCAACGAGCCAATTAAGTGAATATTGAAGATTCCAGCTTTCATCACAGTAGCCAAGCACAGGATTCGCATATTCTCAGTATTTTCATTAAAAGAATGACAGATACTTTCAATTCTCATTCAGACGTATTACCATCAATACCCAGATGAAGAAGAAAAAATTATGCACTGTATAATTCAGTCTTTTGATAATTCTTACATCGTCTTGTGCGATCTCACCGGAGGATTGTGTTGTAGATACTCGGTTTGGGTTGAATGACGTTGTTCTCTGAGTGTTGGGGCTGTTACTCATCTACAGGTAAACAATGACAAATGGCAAATGCTACTTACAATCCTTTCGAACCTCTCGTTAAGGTTTTTGATTGCACGCTCATGTTGAGATGCAAAAACTTGAGAGACAGGAAACTTTTCAAGATCAGGATTCTGAGGCACATGTTTCTGCTTCAATGGTTGGCTTACCTGATTTACCATCGCATTTTTGATCTGAAATAAGCTTATTTACAATCATTTTAAATAGGCAAAGGATGAAGATTTTATTTCATGCGTTACTGGACTGCATGATATCTCATGTTTAAAAATTATACATTGATGTATATTTTCTTCAGTTTTCAATCCTACCCAGGCCGAAAAACTTTTATTGTACAGCCATATATTCTCCGCACATTTGGAAGAATGGATCAAATTACTAATGTTTATAAACGAACAACCACAAAATCTATTAATTTTAGTTATACTTTTATTGCAGCAACAAAGTTAAACCCACGGATAGGCCCAAAGAGAGTATATATATATATATATCTGTATGATCAAACAGGTTTTACTCTAAACTTAGGTTACAGCCAACTCTTTAATCATACGTTTCCTAGCAAAAGTTCGAGTGGTTGAATTCTATTTTAGGCGTTATAGTTTAATCAGTGGCCATTAACGTGAACGGTAAAAACCCCAGCAAATAATTTAAAGGGCATTTGTTTCCTCTACTGATTGAGAATGAGTGATTGAGGTAAAGCAAGGCTTTCCCCTTAATGCTTGTAGAGAAATACATATTTGTTCTTCAAATAGCGAATTAAAATGTATTGTTCCATTTCTAATACAAAAAGGCGATAAATGAATAAGCCGCATACTGATCCGACTAGCTATCTCTGTAGGTATAAATGAGTATAAAATATATGTATCTTCCACAATTTAATAAAGAACTAACATTAAAATCCTTAGTAAATATTTTAATTTTATTAAGGAGCCTTAATTTTAAGTATCTCAGTCTAGGACTAACAAAAAAGCGGATAAAAGAGTCTGCTGGGATACAAAACAGAGATCTTAGGCCTAAGCAAGTGCCCAACGCCTCATTCGGCATTTCATGTAATTTCAGCACGTAGGAATGAGATAAACATACTTACTTTAAAAAAGGATAATTGTGGTATAAAGGTGGAATATACTCCTAGTAATTTCACAGGTATGAACTGTGATGAGGTAATCGATGAAGTGGCGACTGCTCTCACTACCTCGGTGACACTGGAAATGAGGGTTAAGGTCAAACTCGCAGTTAGAAACTGCGAGTTCGGTGTCCCGAGGCTTTGCCAATCCAAAACAGAATAGGACTAATACCACGAAAACTGGAAACAACTTTAATTGCGGGTGTTGCTGTGGCGATTTCACGCAACATGATACAAATCGAGGGGTTCGTTCGAGTTGTTTGAAGAGCATATGGCTTTTAAATTTTCCTTCTGTAGTAGTTTGCCTCTTGGAACACTCAAAAATCTTTCCTCATGAACTCATAAAAACCGCAAGTACCAAATCAAAAAAACAGAAAATTCATATATGTAGTGTTTTTTGTAAGGTTACCAAATGTGGAACCATTTCAAACACTAAGAATGTGGTAATATAACATTTCTGTTTATTCAAAATGGCCAAATTTGCTTTCGTTAAAGTCAACTGATTAAGCCCTAGCTGATAAATTTTACCATAGGAACCAAATAATCTTATTTCTACTGTCATACGTCCTATAAACAAATATTATTCTGGTTCTACATGGCAGTGGAAGGCCCTCAGGTTAGCGTTTTCCGTCAATACTTTTGTTTTGATTACTGGATAAATATTTTCTTAAAAGGCGCTGTCAAAATGAACAGCTTTTAGACTGCAGTAAGATCAAGATAGTTTTAAAATGCATTTCAGAATTTGGTTTGTGAATGAAAACTGCAATACAAATCATTTTAACGGTGTTTGTGTTAAATTTGACATATTTTTAAATCAAAGCGAATAGGTGAAAAGAATTTTCGGCGTGGATATTTATAAGTTGACGAACAAGAGTAATATATTTTAATTTAAAATATTATTTACGAGTCTTGAGACATCTGTATACCTTGAGGGACGCACACTCAGAAATTTTATAACAGGCACGCATCTATTTTTAAAGATTTGATATACTTAGTTTTCCACAAACAACAATGCCATCTCAACCAGTGTTTTTGTTCTACTTTAATTTTACTTTATTTTCTTTTAGAATTTATTATTACCCCTAATTTCCCCAGTGTTACGCTTTTACGACTGTCGCTTCGATGAACTTAGGCGTCAGTTGACTCAAGGGTCAAATGTGAGGATTCAGTCACGTGACAACAAAACCAGATTTTACTCAGGCCAACGAACGCGCCTCATTGCATAGATAAAATCGTACGTTATGTTTACTGACTCATTTGGGTTCCATGGGTGGCATTGCTCTCCCATTGGGATTCAAGGGTTTGGTAACCAGAAGTTTAATAAAATTAAATTAATGTTATCAGCTAATCCTAATCGCCTTTTTTAAACTATGATATGGGGATTAGTGGAGTAGGCGAGTAACTTAGTTTGCATATGTTTTGCGGTAAAAATAAATTCTTGATTTTTGTGAATGACAAGCTTTACTGAGTGCCCAGGATTGCAATAAAAGTTTATTAGTTTCGCGCACTCGGGTTCACTAAGCTGTGCTTGAGTCGTAAGTTATTTTTATGACTTGAAGAAACAGCTGCATTGAGAAGTAAAGGGACATAAATTAGCATTAGGCGCTCCATAAATTGCCACGTGCATTTGCATTTAAATGCCGGCAAAGTAGTCGAATCTGTGCTAAGTGGAACTACCCCCAGAAGAGTCCGCGAATGTATTGAACGTTGGCGCTTGGGTACACAGTGCCACGATTGCTCACATCTCTTATAAGCAATAGTTAATCAGAACTTTACTTTTGGAGACCAGTTTTTAAATCACAACTCTGAATGGATAAGGCACTAAAAGATGTTTTTTCTCATAATCGGTGTTGGACTTTCGGTTATTTAACGACACACTTCCAAAGAAATCAATGTGATTTTCCAGTGTCTTTTAAATGTACTCCTTTTTTGCAGAAAGTTCGTTTTTTTAATTTGTCACTTCTGATCCCAGCTACAATTACTGAAAGCTAAATTTCTCAACTTAAGACAGTCTCAACAATAACTATATCCACTTATCTCCCTTGTGAAGCAAACAATGCAAATATTTGTTCCAAATTTTTCGAAAGTTTTTTAAGAAAAATTTGTTTATTAAGGGTGATTACTTAGAAATGCATGTGAAATCAAGGGTTTGAGGTGAAATTTCGTACTTGTTAGTGAAAGCGCAGCATTTATTTATTTACTTAAAACAGAGGTAAATTTCAATACATCACAAGCACGGCACGATCGATGCCTTCAGCCATAAATTTGTCCCAAGTACTTCAAAAAATCACAGTGATAACACGCTTCCTTGTCGCCTAGAAGTCTCCGACCAATCTCACTTGCCTAGAATGATGTCAATTGGGAGGAAATTGGCATAATTATAAATAATAAATGCGCACTTAAGTTAGTGGGCAGATGGCTTCGTTGTGTGAGCTTGATAGTGATGAATGAATGAAATCTAGGCGTTGAAGCATTTGCAATATCATGCGCAGCTATCTATGAAATGCCGAATGAATGCTAAAGCAGTATAAAGTAGGTGTACTAGTGTGCGTACATGCAACTATCTCCAAAGTACTGATGCCGCCCCGTAAATAACCTGAACAAACGTTCATCCTCATTAATTAAAGCATAACATAAGACGTCCTTCGTGGAACTCTAGGGCATGTGCAATAAATTACAAAAATCCGATGCAAATATGGCTCTCTTCAAGTAGACTTAGTGATGGGCACTTTCTGTCTGCAGTGTCATGGCTTCCACGTCGAGTGCGCATGAATATTTACACCACCTGGATCAATGGCCTTACAGCTCTTCCATATTGCCACAGCACAAACTTACGCCTCATGGAGTCCACATGCATGCCTCGGGAGCTCCGGCACAACAAGAATTTGTTTGAGCTAAGGGCATAGTACCATTATATACCATCAATACTCCGGAATACATTTCATAATATAAACCTGCTAGTTCTAAAGAAACCAAGCATATCATGAGATCTTACTCAACGTGTTTTACTTTTCATGGCCGATGGCTTTCTCTGACGTGTGATATTGCGGTGGTACATTGAAGATTCTATTTTTCTCGCATAGTGGGTGAAAACCAGCCAACTTCCGTGGATAACTTTTCATAATTACACTGGTTTATTCTGCCGCTTTAAGCACAGTTACATATGTAAATTAATTAATATAGCCTCTCTCTGGGCTAATTGTCGCAGTACGCGAGATGGCCACATTAACACTAGTCATTAACGGCAGATCAATGTTAAATTTTTGGCTTACAATAGAGCCCACCTTACTTTGATGGTTCTTTTTTAGAAAAGCCACTAAAATAAGTTAGTTTACTACCAAATACAGAAGACGTGGACATCTTACCTCCTTCTTGACACAAATGCGGCAGCACGGTCCTCGTTTACCCCGTCTTCCCTGATCTTCATACCACTAGACCACCTAGGCTGATTGGACTAGGACATATTTATTGCTTAGTGTAAATGGGGATAGATACGAGTTTAGGGAGACCTGGACGCAGGGCTCTTCTCTGGTTCGAAAGATGTTAACCACTCGTTAATCCCCAGGTTGGAGTCTATTGTCCAAATCTTCTCTGAAAGGTCCATTAAAGCAGCATAAGTATTACAGCTATTATGGCTACGTTGAAACAACTGTGAATAGTTTCTTTCAAGAATCACCAAAATATTTCGATTGAGTGAGCCACATGCTACTCGTCATGCAATCGTATCAATTGGTATTTGATAAAGACCACCTTACTGTTAAGGAGGGATAGCAACTCTGCACAATCTTATTGTTTTTTTTCTTATTATCAACCCCTAGAAGTTCCATCGAGAATCTTAAGATCAACTGGATGCATTGAAAATCAGCGCACCAAAGTTAGATAAATTTTCTATCTAATTTAAATAGAGGGCACTCAGGTGGGCTGAAAATGGCACCAAACACGTACTTTATGACGAGGTCACCGGTTAACGCGGCCGCTATTTACGATAAAGGTGTTCACAATTGTTAGGCATGATGACAATCACCAAATTTTAGAAATGACGAGCTTGCACAACGAGAAAATATTTTGTCTTAAAATTAATAAATTTTCCCCTTCATAATTAGATGCGAGCAAAATTTAGTAATTATTTTATTAAAATCGACAAACGAAGACAAATTTTAATGCTACGTTATCTTTGAGCCGTTTTCGGTCAGGAAAATGAACATAATAGTTTTACCTTGATCCTGAAAAGTGTTCAAACACAATTCTATCTTTATGGCCATTTAGATTTCGTTCAAAATCTTAAAACCTACCAAGAATTTGGTCGATGCTTAGTATCTAGTTTATAAAATTAACAAAGTTCAGTATTTCAATAAAGGAGAACTACACTTAGCAAACTGGAAGGGCCAAGAAGGAAACAAAGGGGCTTTGATCCGAATTTGGTCATCGGATATTTCGTTTCTTCATTGCTACCTTAATGGTTTAGAGACCCTAGCCTTCTTAAAAGTCTAAGATAAAAGAACAAACATTTTCAAAACTGTACTGTGTTATTTCATAGTAGTTATGCAATTCAAATGCCACATTCCATCTCAAAGAAGTGGATGTGTATTTACGAAATAGGTGTAATGGACACGTTAACCAGATCGTGATCAAATGTTGCAAAAGCGCCCTAAAATCGAGGAAGTTCCTATTTTCCAAAATAACACCAAAGTGATTATTTATGTAAAACTCCGCTGCTGATGCAATCAAGGCGACTGATTTTAGGGGTTTGATTAGTAAATACAAATTTGCTTGGCTTCAATTGTCTAGTGGGAGTAGCTGTAGCTTTGGAAACGGTCGACACTGGTATTTTCTTCAAATTTTAACATTATCCTGTTACAGCTCTCTAACCGCTTCTAGAGATAATAAAATGGCCGTCTGGAAGTAAGTTGATTATAAACATACGAGGGGTCGGAACCTACTAGCACTTATGCTCATATTTCAAAAACGAAACTGTACCATTAAAAAAACCAACATTTACTTGTACAAGATGAGAACTATAGTTTAATTTGTACCTTCAGTGCTAAGTTCGAAATTGTATGCCTCTCAGAAATATCCTCATTACGTCTAATCTAAGCATTTTAAAGATCGAAGTAGGCGGTAAAACAAAGAAGACGCTAAAGTGGTCGCAGCTTGGATGGCTCCACTGCACTACAGCGGTGATTGCGATTTTCGCTGTCAAAGGAGGTATTTGTAAATCGCAATAATCTTGCGTTGCCACCCAATTGGCCTCCTGTTTCATCCAGCAATGTGTGATTTAAATAAGGCTAAATACTCCTAAATCATGTAACAGTCCATTTTGTGGTGGAAGCGCAGGTGGTTGATCTTGCTAAGGGTAGAGTTCACCTGCTCAAGTATTTGTCTGCAAAATAACCTTGGTTACGTAACCAGACACGATAAAAATCTCGATTGGAGCATAAACGGAAAGCTAACGTCCCAAATGAATCTTTAATGCGCCTTCTTTTATAGTTTCTCTGTGCCACTCTGGCGACTGTCATTTTTTTCCCTCAGGTCCAGAGTGATTAGAGAGGGCATTCATCCACATCTTTAATGAGCTCAGGTACAGTAAAGTATGTAATGTACCCAAAAGTTTCAGCGAAAAGGTGTTATTTTTAGGTGTAAAACTTGGTTTAAGTTACTTTTAATTCGCAAAAAAGTAGCGACCAAAATTTGCTTAGTAACTGGATGAACCAATTCCATACAAGAGGCCTCTCCTTGCGACTACATAACTGCCATTAGGGGAATAACTTAAACCCTCTGATGCAGAAGACTGTTTACAACTACTTGGACTTGCTGCAAGCCAGCCAGCTTGAATTTTACTCACGTGACCCCCAATCAATAGGACAACGTGATTCTTTAAGCAGTGACCCACTCCCTAATTAAAGGTGGTGGGGATGCCGAAATCTTTTCCATATCTTAGTGAACAATGTTTACACTACTCTTGATTCATGCTATCTAATGGGTCTCTTTGGACGAAAAATTAACGCGCGCGTTAGAGAACAGGTTAAACGCATTTTTTCCACTACCACGGGCAGTGATACAGGTGATATGTCTCAAGCATCAGAACAAGTGGGGAGCTCACACAAAGCAATAAGCCAAAATATCCCTTCAATTATAAAAGTGGACAAAAAAAAAGTTTCACCTGTTGTAGATCCCAGCTCCACCAAATATGCCTGCGCATCGCGAGCCTCCAAATGTTCAAAACAAAGTCTACAAAAGAAACGACAAACAGATCCTTTTGAAGGCGAACAACCTGTTTTTAAATCTGGAGCGGATTCACTGAGTAGACCCTCCGAGCTAGGAGATGTGAAACTATCATCCAAATCACGTAGAATAAAAAATCCTCCCTTTTCAAGCTTCCCATTCTGCAACGATGGGAAAAGTATATCATCTTCTTCACATTCGTTCAACTGGCGAAATAAAAAGAATAATGTTTGTAAGAGTTACTCTGAGATTCATCAAGGAACTGAGCGTGACTGGAAGAGGTATAACAAGAACTATAGTCTAGATCGTTCACGCAGAGATATTTGCCCTTGGTCTGGAAACAGACTAATGAATAATTTGGATGAGAAACAAAAAACAAAGCCAAAACATCCGCATAGTAGGACAAGACATTATGATGGAGAATCTTCATCAATTGATACCATGCAGCAGGTGTCTTATTTCAGGTACAAACAGAACCTGCCTAGAAAAGTAGTTCATTTGAACGAACGACGGATCTTTCCTGAGCAGAAACAACTAACAGATGTGAGTGACGTCAAACCGTTGAGAGGGTGCGACTCTTACCAAGTCCGACAATCCACCTTCCAATGCGACCATGAAAGCAATCGCTTGAAGAAAGATGCAAATGAAAAATGGAGTGTTAAGTCACTGTCACTAGATACTTCAACAGGAATTTCCAAAGTAAAAAAGGTGACTTCTAATCATAGAGGTATAATGCGAAATCGGACCAAGGCTATAAAGTTAGGATTTGTGGTCCGTCGGAATGATCGCTGGAATGGAAATGGTTTTCAACAGACTCAGAATTCTTCACGACGGGAACTAGAACAAGTTGCCATGGTTCACAATAGTAGTTGTGGTAAGTTTTTATCTTAAACTAGTAAAACACAAACATGAAGCAAGTTCATTAAATTTTGCTTGCATTACTTAAGAGCGTGTTTGCTATTTTACAAAAATAATGCTGAAGTTCTTTTCACATATCTGCGCATTTGTATCTTCGCTTTGTTAACAGCGAAATCTTGAAATACTTTACCCTTATAAAATTAAAGCAAATGGCAAAGGTTGATTTCGAAATCTAAGTTTATTTAAATGTGAAATCGTTGATGTGCACTTTGTTCAAGAACACATTAAGTTTATTTAAATTCCTAGGAATATGTTTTAATTTGACTTACATTTCATATGTGAATCAGTACTGACCTGTAGGTTTAAAGACGATTTCTACCTTATTGTTTTTCAAGTCACTCCAAATGTCAAAAGCGAGTCTGATCAGCCGAATTCTTTCATTTCTGGTAAAAAATCACCCATTTACGTCTTTAAAAAAGCCGATTCTTCCCCTACTGTGTCGAAAAATTGCACGTCACCGAATGCTAACGATAACAGAGCATCTCTGAAGCCTACCAAAGACCATGAAAATCAGGCACCCAACTCTGTCGAAGTCTTTTGCTCCAAAGGCACATTCGATATTAACTCGAACGAAAAAGCTTGCATTTGTACGAAGGTGGAGCAAATGACGACGCTCCAGGCAGGGTCCGTGCTCTACGAATGGCACACAACAGAGCAGAAAGCTCTCAACGGCAAAGTTGTTGTTGGGACGGAATTAGCACCCGCTCTTGTCGATTTTGAACCGATGAGTCCAATGAAAATGAGTACAGGAGGTCAGGGAACGGTTGTCTGGGTGCACTTACCGAGCACATCGATGCAGTATGCACTCAAATTCAAGGCTCGCGATGGCAGAAGTGAGAAAAACTGGCTGGTAGAACGCCGCGAAGCAAAAATCCTTCAAAAGCTTAAACATCCCTTTATTGTCAAGTACGTAAATTACTCGAATTCAATTCACGTGAATCACTTGATAATCTGTGGTAACATTAATGCTTGCTGTCTCAGTGTGGATGAAAAATGATTTAAATATCAATCCTATTTGCTCAGTTCTAAACTCACCCCTCAAATGATCTCTTTAAGTGTGTTAAAGTGCACAAGTAGATGCCAATACTGGCGCGATGTATCAAAGGAGAGTTATGCTCAACAGAGGCAATTATTCCTAATTAATGGGAGCAGGTGTCAGAAAAAGGATGTATGTTTAAAGTTGAACACTTACGTGAGATTATTATAATTAGTTATTGAAGAGTGGTAGAAGGAGCAATCTCAATTATCACTCTTTTCCATCACTTTTGGTACTAAAAGTTAGGTGGAATATTAACCGACACAAATGAGCTTAAAAGCAAAAAAAACTAAACTTAAAATGAACTACCGAGAAGATTCCGTATCTTGAGCTCTTTGTTTTCGTATCAGCATCGAGAAAGTGCATCACATACATGGTCGCTGCAGCACAGGTCCGTAAAGTTTTAAATGCAAAGATAAAATTTTTGATAGCAGTCGAAATGCATTTTATAATTAGGCGCATATCTTAAAAGGTATGGTTATAAAATAACTAATTTGGTGTTACTTTTGGTGATTTGCAATTTAATTAACACTAGCAATTTTGAGTAGTATATTTCTTAAAGCTGTTTAAATGGAGTTTGATAATGATTTATAGATCTTGTAATTGTAACACTTGCAAAATATAATGGCCTACTAGCGTATGAGACCGCTTACAGTAGAGTTCTAAATAGAAACGACAAATTTTTGAAAAAAGGTTCTGCTCAATGCATGAAGGCGGAAGCGCGATGCAAATGATGCTTGGGACGGAAACGCCGCTTCTGCTGTATTTTTATTTAGTTTAGCACAAAAATTCTGGGAAAACCCGATAGAACTGTAAATACGGACTACTTGACAAAATGGAAAATTCTCCGCAGCTTGCCTTTGGCAGAAACCGCATTGAAAACATATGATCAGTTAGAGTTGAGAATTAAAGGAGCACGGTGTGGCAGAGTGCAATCTCCTCTTTGTAGAAATTTTGTCCCTTTTACAGGCAGTTGATATTAATTTAACATAAAAATTGTACACATTTCCAACATTCTTTTACTTTTAAGATGTTCTTTATTTGTAAACAAACCAAATGGCTTATTATTAATTAGTCGTCTCTATTTTTTTTTCCATTTTCATGCTTTTATTTAATCGAATGCTTCGAACATCCAAGAATTTTTCTAATTTTGGTGAACTAGTTTCCATATCAATGCACTATGGTTTTTAATATTTATTCTACAGTCATTACATATGCAGAGATGCACACTTTTACAAGGGAATACCTATTTCATTTTGCATTTAACCAACAGACGGACATCATTCAATACCTAAATGACGACGCTGTACTTGGGTGGAAATATGTAGAAAGTGGTTCCATAAAGTCATGATATCGAATTTATCCTTTATATTGTATGAAATTTTAGCAATAATTCCTCTTTTGTGGCCATGGAAGTTTGTTATTTTTTGCTATTGAAATATCTATTTTACTTAAGGAAACAGTAACAAACGTGCTGTATCAATCAATCGTTTAGCTCTGGAAATGATTTGCGAAATGCTGGTAGTGTAGGCATATTGCTAGAATTTTAAGATTTTCTAAATATTAAATTTTATACGAACTTGAATGTGGTAACTGAATAGACACTCTCTTAAGAGAGTGTAAGGAAATGAGCAAACTTTTACCCAACATTTTCACGCAGTTAGATGGAATTCGTAGGGCAAACATTGCAAACACATAAGAAGTATTAAATATTGGTGATGTCAGTGGGTTTAGTCTTAGAGTAGTATACAAAACAAACCAAATCTCCTGGACCGCTTTTGTTGTATATATGTGCCTCTCAAATGATCCCTTTTTAATACTTTTACAATGATGGTGTACTGAGGAACATTTACAACAAAGTGGTCCGTAAATTCTTGCCTGAGTTGGCCTATTATTTGGTCTTTTGGGGCTCCAACACATTGTAGCGCTTGCTATGGATGAGTATTGCATAGCTTAATTGAATAAACATCAAGAAATAAGCTGCCATGCAAGAATACACCTATTTTAAGGCTGACTGTTGATAATTTTGGAGATGCTGCAGGGAACCACCGCATGGTTACTTTACATTTACCTTTTAGCACATACCACATCTATGAAACAGATGCTGCTCTGTTTATGGCTTTTGAATATCTGAGTGGAGGCTGCCTTTGGGGTCACATTGCACGAATAGGAACGCTGCCCGAGTGTTATGCAATCTACTACGCAGCCTGCATCCTAACTGCTTTGAGCTACCTCCACACAAGGGGCATCGTTTACAGGTCAGTAGGCTATAATTCTCAAGTGTCAGCCCATAACAATATCAATCGTTGGCACAAGCGTACTTGAGCATTGTGAATGCATTGTACACAAATGCCCTTTCGTAAATAATGTAAAAGCCAGAATGAAGCGGCGGTATTCCACTGGTGTCACGAATCTGTTAACCCTGATACCTGATTATTGGGAAAAATGTACCACCTTGGCAACTTCCTGTATAATTTGAAAAATATTACCAATTAAATGGAAAATACTCAAAAATATTTCGAGACTTTATGGAAGAATTTATGATTTCGCATTATCCACGTAGGTGGCTACTCAAGTTTCCACCGTTGAACACGCTAAATAAGTAGCCTCAAATAGTTGTAGACCTTCTTGCCAAATGCTTGCGGTAGGTTAATTGAGTGTATTTGTGTTCTACAAATCTGTTTTATTAAGTGATAAAAATGAGATGCACAACAGTGATAAGTATTCCGAATTATTTATTACATGCGGTCTTACACTCTTGAATTTATTGACACCAAGCTTATGCTTAAAGGTGCAATAAATATCTTTATCAGGGAGCCATTTTAAATGTTTTCCGCAAATATAAAAGAAAATGTTAATTTAACTTTACATGTCATCATTATTTCATTGTATAACATATTTTAAGTTACTGTCACTGAATCTAAAATAAATATAAAATACACTAGCATTACCCAGTATCTTGTCTTTTTATAAACAAAAGGCAAGAATGAATTAAAGGGTTATTTGTTTCTAGGGACATGAAAGCGGAAAATGTTGTACTTGACTACCGTAACCGCCCAAAACTCATTGACTTTGGAATGGCCAAGTACTTTCCTTCAGTGAGAAAACAAATGCAGCTGGACGGAGACAGTGTTAAGAAGATCCATCCTGAATATCCTCTCGGAAAGGAGTTTATTCACGTGCCACAATTGAATTGGGCTTCACCTGACCTTGACACCGATATCGGAACAGACGACCCACCAACCAGATATTACTACGCTGCTTACCTGGCGCCCGAAATTTACAATCAACCAGCTGAGGCAAACCATTACATTGATTCATGGGGTCTGGGATACATAATTCTGGAGATGATTCTTGGTTACGGAATGTGAGCTTTTGTTAGTCAATTCTCCTATATTTTAGCAAATGATGGTTGAATATTACCATCTATAGGTGCTAAAACTGATACTTCCACAGCAAAAATAATACATGTATTCACTATTACTCTGGATGCCAAGAAAAAAATGGCATTGCATTTCCCTTTTACTTGTTACCATTCATATGCAATTTTCAGTGTTGTTAAGAATCTCTTCATTTAACGCGTTCTTCAAAACACATTCATTCTTGTAGATTTTAAGAAGTAGAAAATAATCCTAGTATTATTTAAAACACAGCTAAAGGACTGACGACACGGGGCGCAGGACTTATCCCTCATCCGTTAAAATAAAAAATTCTTAATGCCGATAAGTGCGTCGATTTACAAGTCCTTGCAGTTACCCATTTTGTTTAAAGGAGTAGTCAGTATTGACGGAGTAAGCTCCACACTCACAGAGATACATAATAAATCGGCGCAAATGTTGTCAAGTATAATACGGATGTGAGCACAAAAAAGTAACCACCTTGATACAATCAGTGCACTTTTATCGAGTTTTTTCAAATACTTTACTTTTTAACAAGTATGATATTTTATAAACATGAGCACATTAAGAAATCGTCACATAAAGAAGCTCAGTAAATAGACGGTGGTACTGAGCCGGATCACAACGTGTTTGTCAAGGACTGATTTATTTTTATTAGCATTTTAAAATTTTGGAAATAAGACCTGCAAATAATTGCAATTAGTTCATTTCAGCATGAGATTACAGTGAGAGCTTAATTTTAGAATTGAGAAGCGGATCTTATCCACAAAAAAATTTGCTTTTATATTGGTATTGTTACTGCGCCAGAATGGAGTACGCTTTACTAAACAATTTGTATCATTTAGATTTTTACCTATTCCTTGGGCGAACATAAAAGGCCAACACTTGTCCCCAGATTGGCATCTTCATTTGCCCATTGAAGTGGTTGAGAAACTTACAACTGATTGCCGTAACATCGTCTATAAAATGCTGGTGAGACAACCGCAGAAACGCTTGAGCCTTAAAAGTGCGATGAGACATGCTTTCTTCTCTCGCGTACCTTGGCCTAGTTTGCCAGCGTTGACGGGTCCCGACCTCTCTAGGTTTTGCAATTCCGAAGATTTTTATCAGCAGCGGCTTGCACTCAATAGCTTGGATTTTCATTTTGGTCGATGGTCCAAATATTACACTTCGAAGAAGTTCTATAATCCCCATGTCAACTCTACAAATCACTTTAAACTCAGAAGCCAATGTGGGAAGGATAATGAAGATTCGCTATCTCAAAGAAATAGAAATAAAAGGCTAAGTAAGCATATAGATACATGTCGAAAAGCTTCTGTTTCCAACAATCATGGCATTAGTTGCACAAATCGGAAGATTGGCAATCAACAGGACATTCATCTGAGGTTTCGAGGTGAGGTTATCAATGGTCCAAGAACAGTTGATCTCTTGAAGAAAAAGCAGGGGAAAAAACAGCAGTCAATGTGATGTTTTTTATTTAGCCACCACATGTCCCTTTATTTGATTGCGCTCCTATCCCTTCCATTTACATGTGCATTTCTGGCGACGAGAAGGCGGAAAGCCGATGACCTTCAAGGTCGTAAAAACGTGTACCTGCTAACTCTACCATCTGTTCTATCTCTGATACTCGCTAAAAGTTTAAATTATGTTCTTCTGTCCATTGTGTGTTGTTTTTGTCTAGGAACAAAAATTTGTTCATACAAAAATAACTGACGCATTGTACCTTCCAGTTTATTGTTGAGAATCCTTAAATAGACCAAATCAAGCAGTATAAAGCATCATAAAGCGCGGACGTCAAATACATTAATGCACTGCTTGTAATATCAGAAAAAAGATAGATACGCCTAATTCACAGCAGACTTATTAATTTAGCATTTGTTTAATTAGCGCTCTTCAGTGTCGGTCGCGTGACAGGTTAAATCAACTGAAGTTTACACTCGAGGGACTGCAGCAGCGTACGCAATCGCTATTATCAGTGAAAGAGAATACCTAAAATTACAAGAGATAATAGAATAAAAGCCATTGGGAATGCTCCTTTAAATCACAAACTTATCTTTACTTAGGGACTAATGTATTCAGAGGGTTCTTCATACTAGTACCTATTTCTAACATGGTTACCAGATTTCAAATTTGCAACAATTCATTACACCTTTCTATTAGACGCATATCATTGCTGCTGACTGTAAAGCGTCGGATTGCAGACATACTTTGGGTTGAGCTGAGAATATGACTACTGCTTCTTTTACTTCAAGTCAAATTCGTGTTTTAAAAAGTACTACTAGAATATGGTGTCAATTGCTAAGGGACTAAAAAGCCCCGTCGCTTATAAATGCTGCTGTTTCCACTCCTTTAAGTTTTTTTTCACGATAAAAATCAGCAAGAAAACTAAACGGCTGTCTATGTTTCCCAAAAATAAAGTTATTTTTGCCAAATAAACAACAACAACAACACTTTTGAATCTGTCTGAAATAATAGTGTCTGGCAACATTAAAATTAACGTAAGTTTTAGTAGCTCTTGTGGGTATACCGAATCTACAGTTGTATGCAACTGGTTTTACATAATCTAATTTCCTCAGTAAATGTTTTAAAGAGACAGACAGGAGAGTTAGTACAGCCCGCATTTAAACGTGCCATCTGGAGTAAATAAGTAAAGCAGGGGAGAGTGGGGGTCACCACTGCTCAAACCGATAAACTGATCTCTGCAATGGTGCAACCGAGATGGAAAATTCAGTCTGCCGTGATGCCCCAAGTGTCCAAGATTTCTAATGTGTCAGTGGGAATCACACAATGTAGCAGCAAGCATTAGCTGTTGCAACTGAACGCGGCCTGGTAAATTCAGCAAAGCCTCATTTGAGTATTATTTCAGGTTTGTAGAATACGTGTCGGATGTTTTGATACCACAACATCAAGCATTTCTTGACATTTATTGTTCAAAACAGCAGGTGGATAAATATGAGTCCCGATTCATTTTTATAATGAACTGTCACAAAGCTTGCAAAAGGACCTGTACTTTGTATCCTTGTGTAAATATATTTGGGGCTTTTGTAAATATTGTTCGAGTGTTGCACACAAAATGCATTTTTTTTGTATTAGCGCGTCCTTTTCACTCGTAAATTCAAGGACACAGAATTTGACTTGCTCCAAACATTGCATATCTATTAGTTAAGTATAAGATGTCCCACTATTTTCCAATGCGCTATGTTCCAGTAGGTATCATTTAATTATCACGTCGTTTTTGTGTCCTTAAACCCCCTTAGTAGGTTTCCTTTTACATGGCCCGTTCTTTACTAAGGGGTGGAGGTGAAGAATTAGCTGTAAATCTTTCAGTGAACAGTTACCAAAATAAATTCGTGATATGATTAAAAGACAAAAGTTTCTGCTAAATGTCAGGGGAAAACATCATCGTATTGATTCTGTCAACTATACAAGTTATTTTAGATGTAGTGTTATCTAATTTACAGTCCTAGAGTATCTTTCTAAGGAATGAAAAATTCTTATTTGACCACACTAAGGTAAAACTGCACTACCGTTGAATAACATTTTAGATAGTAACCATGCAGTTTCCGCTTTACGTATTTACTTTCGCAGACTGAAGTTAATATTTTGCTAAATTATCAGCTTTTGACTTAAAACAATTATTTCTACCAAAGCCAGCGTCAGTGCATAGGCTGTTTCATAAATATAAAGTCGTAAAAACGGGATCGCTAGTTCTGCCTTTGCAATGTGATTCGGGTTGATTTGCGACTGCTTATCTAGCAGAATAAAGCAGTTTTAAAGTGCGTTTAGTGCTTTATAAAGCATCTTACTAAAATATTGTTAACTCAGCAAACTGGGCACAACTCGTTAGAGTTTTCGCGTTTCATTTCAATTCCATATCTTGCTTCAACCCAGTTTTATGCACTAACAATCTTTATCTCAAAATACAAGAAAGAAAATCCGCTTTTAATGAGTTCAAAGATGTGATTGTTCTTAATAGATAAAGTTTAAAGGAAACTAGAAAATTCGCATTTTGATTGGATAGTGAAACGCTATTTTCTTATAGGTTACTGGGAATTCCCTGACTAAACCAATCAAATCAGAATAAAGCTGAATTTAACTTTCCTTTGTGGTGCCACTTTAGTAGCAGTGGGATGAATTCAACTCTGCAGGCACCAAAATCGGGTCTTTTTGCCTTAGAAGTAGATAGGCTACTCAGTTCTGAAGCCATCAGAAGCCTTCAGTCAGGAGGCGATGAAGTACTGATCACCGGTTACCATATTATCCGACACTTTGTCACACCGGCAGTTTGCCTGCTTAGCATGGGGGCACTTATTTTCACACTTGTATTCCTACATCGCAAAAAGTTGGTCCGCATAACTGCCTTGATCTACCTAAAGTTGATGGGCTTCATCGATCTGCTAAGCTTGGTGGTGCTATTCATCTCATCCCTGGATTACTTCATGCCATCAAGTCATGTAAATGCATACTACACCTCTGCATTTGTACGTAGTCTGTATGGATGCCTGTTGGGATTGTTGCTCATCTCGAACTGGCTAATGACCGCACAGGCAATCGAAAGAACCATTGCCATCATTCGACCGTTTAAGGCAAAGCAGATCCGTGAAAAGCACAGACGCATTGTCGTTTCAGTTATTTGTGTAGTGTCAGTGCTGTTGACGATTCCTACACTCGTTTTGGACATCATGGAGCTGACAAGATATCGCCAATGCTGGGGCGATGATGAGCCCTGCATGGATGAATATGGATACGCTCACGATTTTAGCAAACGAGTAAGTGCTTATCTAGCAAAACTGTATTAAAAAAATGATTACGACCTGTTTAGGGCTAAAGACTTAATTACTTTTTCAGTGGTGGCTCAGCAAAACCTTAAAGGTTTAGAAACAAGTTTAATTACTCCAACTCTAATTCATCAATGCAACAAAGAAACCTTTGCTGACAAAATGTTTGCAAGTCTTCCGTTAAAAGAAATAGAAGTGTCAAATCCTTTCCGGATTGTTGGGGTTATTTAAGATATAGTTTCGTGTAAATTTATAAATTCTCATATTATTCCTAAATCATTCCTAATTTATTCTCCACTTAATATAAAAATAGGACAAACAAGTGAAACTAGTCAAGGTCACTCTAGAATAGCTCACAGAGAAGATTTTGACATGTGATTGCTAGTTTATTATTTTTAAGATCTAAAAAAGCACGTCCTGCAAGGAAAGCACGATTCACGCCTACCACTTGTTTTATGCGCTACGTAGACGCTCCCCAACATGAACACTGCCTGCATAACAGCGTTTTGTCTAACTTATTGCCTTTGTGGGTACGGTTAAATCTGTTTTACCACAGCCTTCCACTTCCATTAGTATTGCTTTTATTATGCATAAGAGCAATTTTCTTCCTTTTTTTATTTTTAAGCATATTTTTTAAATTCGTTAAAGGTTTCATTCCAATTGCTCGTTAGGAAGCAGTCAATTAAGCCTTTCATACAAGTAAAACCATATTTTCATGATGTACTTATATGACATCAGGTAAACGTCACTGTAAGAACGAAGCAACTTCCGTTTCTAAACTTGAATACAACCAAACAACCACCCAGCTCCTTTTACAATTTTGAAAGATGTTATTTTCGCTAATCCTTTGCCCTTCATTTCGTGACTAATTAATGCGTCACCAACCAGAATAATTGCACAAGTAATTGAGTGTTAGATGTACCCTGACTTACTGTTTACCCGAATTGAACACAACATCGTTCACATCATTTTAAGAGAAAAATTAATTTTTCCTTGCTAGATCTTGGCAGCTTTAGGTCTTCAATTGCTTTTGTTACACACCAGTAGAGCGGTAACCTTAGGACCTTTATATTATTACAGATAACTTCTATGAAACGTGTAAATGCTGGCATCAACATATCTGGTCTGTTACAACTAAACAAGACCAAAAGTTTGGTTGCAATTGTTCATCTCCCTTTTTGTCAGCTATAACCATATCACCATTCCCATTGTTGCTATGATGTTCGAAATATCTCCTTCTTGCGGAAGCACAAAAACCATGTGGGAAGTCCAAAGTGGTGTCCAAGTGGAACAAAGGCCTATTTCAAGCATCCTTAGATTAACACTTGGTTGGACACTTCCACACACGTAGAATGGGTTTCAACTGGCTAGCGAATTTGCAAGATGCCTTTGCATGCATTTTTATTTAAAATAAGTTCGTGCATTTTGTATAAACCTTTATTACTTTGGGCTGCGGAAAATCTATAATTTCGGGACATAATTTGGTTATTCTCCCCAAAATAAATGTAATGCGAAGGTAAGTCTTTATGTTCCACGCTACTGAAAGCCTCCAATCTCATGAGTTTTCCATTGACCAAATTCTAAAATCGGGTAAAGTAATTTTTGGACATCAAATGCTACAACTATGAGCGTAATTGTCTCCTTTTATGCCAATGCTGAAGTGTAGTCACTCTCTGTAAATATCCACTGGGACCAAATCACTTCGATATCGATGTTCTTTTGGCTGCAGTTAATCAGAACATCGTTGCCTTAATTCGAAACAACGCGTTGGTAGTGCACTCAGTCCATTTTATTTCGAAATGCGCTCTTATTGAGTAAGAATCAGTGATACGATTAATGGACCTTGGTGAATTATCTCTCCATTCGCTAAGTAAAGTTTATTAGAATAACTTGCAGTGAAAAATATGCCATTCTAATCGTGTTTGCCTTCACGCCATTGCGCATCAAATATTTTTAGAAGCTAGTGTAAAAACTCATAATGGAACCGAATTTTTACCGTTAAAATTCTCCTAAAGAATGATATTTTATCATATTAAGAAGCCGGTAATGGTAAATCAGGTAGTTTCGGATATTTAAATGATTTAACAACGGAAATTTGATAATAAATCGGCTTCCGCGCTAAATTATTAGGAGACAATAAATAAACATAGTCCATCGCCATTTACTTTTATGGGAAAGAGCAAACATGCTACGAGAAAGCACATTATTTGGCCTGCATCTATAATATAGGGTAGTGAAGAAACCTCAAAAGTTCAACCTTTTTGCCAAACTCCCCGTAATGTTCAAATTCTTTTGGACATTACACACGGGCGCCTATTTGCACATAAATATATTTTCCAGAACATCACTCCTAATTATCTGGCGATCATGTTAGTGTTATGCTATTTTCTCTGCTTTCCCAACAATCAGTTAAGATAAAATAACATTGCTTAACTTTTCATGCATCCACATTTCTCTCACAGCAAGTGTTAATCCCTAGATTTTGAGAGACTAGATCTTAGAAGACTAACACCCATGTTTTAACGTTTATCTGTTTTGTTGTTCATATTTGCTATCGTTAATTCAATAGATATGCAATAAGATGTTACTATTTTCAATGTTAGAGAAATTTAATTGCAAACTGGATCAAAATTTTATTTTTGCCAAAGTTGGTCCCAAACATTATTTTTTATACTGCTTCCCATGCAAACTCTGATCGAGTAATATATTAAAATGAACTTACAACCGGGTTTCCATTGCATTGTGCAAACTGCAAGCACTCCTTCAAACTTGTTATGAGCGCAAGTGCTGCTCGAAATCGATGCCCGAATGAGCATAGGGTTAACAATTGTCCCAAAGAATTTTGTTATCTGAGCTCTTCCTTACTTATCTTGACTACTTTTAACTCATCTGCTCCCTGTGCTGCACATCCATTAGGGGAAGTCCAACTATCCCATTTGCTTAATCCGCTACTTGCATTCACACATTTCGATTATCTGCTTGAACTGTACAGGTTTGTTTATTTTCCTAATATTTACTCTTTCAAAAAATGAGAATTCTATCGCTTTGATTATATTTTGCGCATTTAAAATGCTTAGTTTGAAACTATAATGATTGCTTTTTAACAAATCCCAACGCTTGGGTGCAACAGGTTCAGCGTTCTTCGCTTCCTCCTTGGCCTTCATTCCCTTAGAACAAGTGGACGAGTTGGACGACGACATGCTTTATTGGGTAGCAATTAGTAAAGGGGTACAGATATTGCGGATAAAGCGTGTTCGGGATGTGTTTCCTCTTTGTGGGGCGAAGGTATCCGATCCAATACGAGTTTTGCACTTTCCGACCGCCTCTCACTTAAAGGGCATATTTAAACAAATACGTATTGCATATGTGCTTTAATTTATCTAGATCTCTCAGAGGTCGAACCTGACTAACAAACCATTTTGTCGTTTACCTACGAAGATCAATTTAACTCTCGGAAAGTGAGCGAATGGACAAAAATAACATCTTACTAAATTAAAAAACCGAATATATTGTGCTCACTTGTAATAATAAACTATTCTTAAAAATTTAACTCATATTGACACAATGTCGGGTAATTACAAAGCTGCAGCAGAACTCTAGGCCAGTTGGCACAAGTTAATCCCTATATGTAATGGCACTGGGCATGCAGTTTTTGCAATACGTTGCATCAGCTCGCTAATCACTTCTACTTACTGCCCAAGGATGAATGCAAAGGTCGTTTTGCCATTAATGCTGCTCAGTTTGTGCAGTTGCCGTTGTGCGTACCAGCTAACAGGAAGGGCCAGCGATAACTACCCATAGTTTAAGCTGACCCGTCGGTTGGGGACGTACGAAAGTGTTCCAGTAAACTAGCTAATCACAGTCGTCGCACTAGAATGATATCAAACCGCAGCAGATAAAAAAACTGAAGCATGTACTATAGATCCTACCTAGCATAATTGCAGATGCTGTTATCAAAATTGTTAATTACTCAGTCACCTTATCCGCATTAGTTGTTTCACTGATATACAAATGGTTGATGCTGTATCTGTAACCATAGTTTTACCCTACGTATTGTTGCTGTGTAGTATTGTTTGTGCGGGCTCTACCATTATACGTTAGGAAATCCTATGCTAATCCCATCGAAGAGAGAGTAATTCAGGGAGCTTACGATTTTTAAAATGAGAAAAGCATTAGAAGTGACGACTCATCGGAGACGTTGACAGCGCAAGTGACTTAAAAATAATACCTAATGAAAAGTCATTTTAAGTGTATACGAATAATTTTAATTTTACAGCCAGAGAAACACATTTTACGTACTAGAATTCCTCAGCTATAATTCCAAAAGCTGCAAGGTGGCAATGTTTCATTCACTTCCTTCTCTCTGACGCATATATAAATGCCACTAATAATTCAAAATTATCTTAATAAATTCTCTTATTGTTTACAGTTATTGGTACCAAATGCAATAGGAATCGTATGTAATCATGCATTTTATCATCGTTTCTCGATCCAAAGTACCATGCTTAAAAATTTTCCCTTGGCAAACTGGTTTTACATCCATGCGAACTAATATTTGAGATTTTGAAGTCCATGCTCACCGTTATCCGATTACGAGAGTAGGAAAATTTGATTTTCACCTTATGTCCATACTTGTCCCACCTTTTTTTGCTTTAAAGCAGCTTGTTTCACCTCCTTCATGTGGTTGGTGAAAAGGTGAACAAGCTGATGATTTTACAAATAATGAAACAGAGCTCGGTTAATAATGGAGTGATATTAGCAGCGCAATTGCCACCAATTTCATGCTCTCAAAACTGAATTTAACTCTGTTTTTTGGTTCATTATGGGTTAGTTTTGAGAAAAGGGTTAATTTTCCGTTCACATAGAAGGTGTATTTAATTTGGCAAACGAAATCTATCATGGATTTTGAATGTTTTTTTGGTGGAATAAAATGAATATGGCACTGCGATATAATTAGCAGCATAATTTGACACTCATTTGTTAGTCTCGTGTGAGACTGTTTCTTCAAACACACGGAGGGATTTAAAATCGGTAAATAATGGGCTCTAAGAGCAAAATGAATATTTTTACAAATGGTTAATAGTAAAAAGAGAAATTGTACTAGCAAAAATAGATTTATTTCACCGTTCTTTCTTGTGACTTAGCGATAGATCCTAAAGATCTGAAGTTGAGTGCATTAGATTAAGGTCAGAATAAAATTATAAATCGCAAAAATTACATGATCTACAAAGCATTTTACAACACATTTATTGACCTTTTTTCAAACGCGAACCCCTAATGTATTTTTGAACTCAATATGCAGTTGTCGACCGGAAATTTGCGTGCCAAACATTCATATATGCTCTCCGCCTTGATACGGTATACCTACATATTCCAGTCTCATGAGTTAGCAAAAACAACTATTGGCTTTCTGTAAATCAGTGAAATATGTAAAATGGATGGGAAACTTTGTTTTTGCGAATTTGATTTATCCATGTCTATGCCCTCTGACTGGCTAGATTTCATTTCATGATAATTTCATGGCAAAAATACCAGTTCTTTTGCCACTTGCATTTTTCCATCCATTTGCTATAAAACAAATTTTACATTGTAGAAAAACGCACCAAAAGAGGAATATTCAAGTTTTTACCATCGACTTTTGCAAAAGAACCGAAACCAGACGCACTCTTTTAACGGAAATACGGGTTTAAAAATCGCTAATTTCGTGGAAGATAGATGGCCGGAATCGCTGAAGCAGTTTCAGATTGTACAAGCCTGGTTGGTGCACTTCTTCATCTTCTTCTTTTTGCCATTTGTATTTCTATGCTTGGCGAGTTTTTGCCTCCTCTCGGCTGTCAAAATGTCCGGCCGCTTCGTTAGGCAGCACTGTATTCGTGGTGGAGTTGAATTCCACAACACTCTACGCGAGGAAGCCCGTATGACGGCTCTCATCCTCTGTCTAATCGGAGCCTTCTTCATCTGCCAAAGTCCTTTTGTAGCCTACTCTGCTTGCCACAAAGTGGGGATACTTTCTAAACCAAGCCGTAGTCACAGTCTTCTTCGGGCCGTAATCACTCTTGCTCTCGCGCTGAAAAGTGATTGTACATTCGTTTTTCATTGTTGGCTAAATCAGCGGTTCGCACTTGCTCTTCGGCGTATGCTGTGTTCATTCTCTGTAAAAGCAGCTTCTGGCCACTGTTACGGAAGTAAATCCTATTCCCAATATGACTCTCAAAATCGCTACAGCTCTCATCAAGCTCAAACTCGCTCCCTTATCAAACACCACGTAATTCAGCAAACCAGTCGTACAGAAGAAAGGCATATTAAAATATTGCTGAAAGAAATAGATTATAGGCGAAAAGCTGTAGTCCATTTAAATCAAAATTTTAATAAGACTGAAGAAAGGATACGCAAGGTGCCACGGCTGCCTTTCTCAAAGCCTATTGAAATGGGCCAAATGGGTCTTAATAAAGGAGAGGAAGGAAATAGGAAGATTTCATTGGAGGATGCAGTGCAAACTAAGGTAGCTGAGGAGCCGCTTTTTAAAAAGCACTCTACAGATGGTACACTGCAAAAAAGCAATAACGACCCTCGGATCATCTTGACGCCCCAGACTCATGGTAGTAAAAGTCCAATGATGAATGTACCGAAGCATTGCGGCAGAAAGCAGATTCACTTCTTCTCCGAAACTGACTTATACACGTCCTGTACAACGGCAGACTGTTCTTGTGGTTCCTTATATCAAGCTACATCATTCTGCTCTTCTTTGGACTGCACAGTCGAAACAAGTGCACAATGTAGGTACTCTCTGACTAAGTCTTATTCTCTCCCACCTTTGAATTCTACGAATAGCCCTTTTTATCATCCGTTTTCTATCCCATATGATGACATTTAAGTACAACGCACACCATTCAACTCCTAGCTACATTCCCCACTCACTCATAAGCAGTCCTATTTTAGAATCCAAATAAACACTTTTTTATTTTGAAAAGTCTTTTTATGAAATCGTTAGCAAAGTCTTCCATCAAAGGATGAAACTAACCGCGTATCAAGATTTTGCATCCAAGGCTGGGTAATTGTCTTCGAAGCGAAGAGTCAGAGTTGTAGTTCTCATGTCTAACTGATTTTAATTTCGCATAGAAGAGTAATTTGTTTTGCAAATAATAGCCTGATTAAATCCATACTAACAAAGATAGTTTTCTGAATAATTGCAAATGTTTAAATAAGACGTAGTTTTCAACACAGAGGCACTATACTAATTCAGTATAAATATACGTAACTCTGCTCCGCAACTACTTTCTTTCCATGCATACAACTCGGGTTACTCTCTGTGGCTGTCGTTTCATATTGTTGAAAATTTTCATCAAGCCTCAAACCTATCGGCTTTTTAGGGATAATTAAATACTGTGGTTTAAGAGCATTCGGACTAAATCACCTTCTTGAAGCATTGATCGTCTCAAATGGGTACAATTCAGTACTGAAGAAGTCTTCTACATTGTTTCACCGGCCTGATAAAAATGCAATTTGGGGAAGCGAATCTGAAGGAACTCACCAATTAACATCGTAATCTAAACAAACTAGGGATGTATGCACTACTTGTGCATATTTAACAAGGTTTTAGAAACAAGAAAAAAAAATTCGGGCTTTAATTTATCATTTTAATGGCGTCTACAGTAAACCGTAAGGGTGATTGAAAAATTTAGATCAGTACCCTGTAGGCGTGAGCAAGGCAAGCGATTCATTCACAGCAAAAATTTACAAACCCTGCTGAACTTATGAATTGCAAAAAATTATTTTGCTTGCTAAATGAGCAACGAGTTCATTCTCTTAATGTCACAGTCAATTAGATGGCAGATGTTTTTATTTATTCTTTCCAACAAAGTAAGTTAGCACGTCTGCCAAGACCTCATAAATATCACAGTAAGTTTAAATAAATGATGAAACACAAATGCTCTTAGGCGACTAAAAACAACTCCTATTTGAAGTTAGAACTTTCAGTAACAAAGAGAATTGATAGTTATCTTGTAAAACCTAAAAGTGACAAACAAATCATTTTAAAATGAAATTATGAGATTTTCTCCAACCACCAACCTTCCCTGCTTTTCACACACATGCATCAGCCAAATTTTAATCTCTCCGGGCTACTTTACTCCATCGAGCCTGCGATTCCAGCCGCTTTACACTCCTTGCAAAGCTATTGATTGCAGTTGATTTTACGTTTAAGAGAACTCCCATTTCGGCATTTTGGTGCTCCCCAAACTAATAATACATTCGTGAGATTTAGATTAAAAATTCCCTTACATATGTTTATGTCGAGTAATCACGATGTCCGACGAAAGACACATCATTGTTTACATCCGAAATATTTTACGTCATAGATGAGTATTTTGACTCAAATAGACGGCACAGTTAACGTCATTATTAGGTGTGCGACTCACCTCCTATTACTCGATATCGTGTTCATGTACAATTTGTAAATTTAATTAAACCATCAAGTATGTGAAATTATGAGTCTTAGTAACATGCAAAGATAATGTATGATCTGGCTTTGGGTAGCCCTGTAACTCATCTGATACCTGCAGAAGTTACCTGGGGACAGTTAGGTATGTTAAATGACTCACTTCGTATCAGACTGGGCTGAATGCTTGGAAACGTTGTTAGACTTGTTTCGTCACCTCCTTATAAGTTTGGACACCTTAATTTCGATGAATTGCGCAAATACGTTCTTCGCATACCAATTGTATTAAACAAACAAATCAGAGGAGTGATGTAGGGTTTTTAAATTGGAAGTTTAAATAAGCAAGGCAACGTCAGCAACCTAGTCTTGTGACACCCGGATAAAGTGCTTTTATTGCGAACTGATCGAGAAGTCTATGTAACGGTGTGCGCCTTTCTACGCAGCTGGAAATTTAGCTTTGGCGGCATGAAGCAGTCACAAAATGTTCGGCTACCTTACTGTGCATTTGGAATGTGCGTCTGCATAATTCTGCCTAATAATACATCAAACGGAATATGTAATATCATAGAAGCAGTCAATATGGCTTTATAAAACTAAATAAAAACCATCACCTGATTTGGTGTATCTTTACTATCTGCTAGCTTTTTGATGGTGCCTGAAGATTGATTTCATTCTTTATCCGCTTTGTGGCACTGATGCTTCATTTGTATCATATAACTAGTAGGCAAAATGCAGGCTCTCAGTGGTAAATTACAGCAGTTCACATTGCTACGGAATAGTTAATGCGCTTTAATACATATTTTCGCGTAAAACAATGTGCAGTAGTTTTACATGAAATTAAGCCTGTCCAAAACACATTGAATAGGGTCGGTATTTCTGTTACTGCGGTGAATGACAGAATATAAAACCTGACTGTTAAAAAATAAGGCAAATTTGACCGAAGCAGTCCAGCTTCACAGTTTTTGCAGTCAAATCAAGCAATGAGGTTTTGATACATGTTCATAAAAGAATATTCTAAGTCTTTGTAATTGCGTTATTGTCTGCTGTCTTTTTAGCTTTACTCCTATTATTTCCGGTGGCTAAATTGAAATATTTTCTCGGTCTTACGGGTTACAACATACCAAAGTTTTAAATTTAAACTATGTACTCAATGACCTCATTCATTTTCGGTTATACCGTTCTTCTTGTCGCAGAATGTCCCTAAGGAGTTCACACCCCTCTATGCGTTTTACGGATTGACTTATGTGCCCCTGTAATGGACTGCGAATGGCAAGATAGGAAACTCTCTTTGATAAATCAGCCGCCTCGTTACCTATCGCGTTTGGGATGTCAGTATTTTGCAAGTATTTTCTGCATAATTTCATCCACAAATTCCAAACTACTCATGGTCATGCTCAAAGGCAAGCTGTTGTCATGCGAACTAAGTGATAAGAAAGGTCTATGTGGACGTTCCGATATTGAAGATTACTGCCTACTCTACTTTCTTAGACAGAAATCGGAGTGACATCCACCCATTCACCATTTCTGCGTGCATTTAGCATGTCCAACGAAAGATTAGAGTACTCTGCTAATAGACCCCGTAAAACAGATTTGATATTCTTGTATTAAAGGCGCTCAACCACTTTGGTTTCTCTATCCTGAGAGACTAGAGCCGTTGTCGTGCTGAAAAGTAACCCTACTTTAAGCCACGAAACTGTACAATGATACGAAAATACTTACTCAAACTCATGAGTCCTGCTGAGTAGCCGGAGAAGGTCACCTATGCCATCCCTAGTCAGGATTAATTGAATAGAGCCTATTTGTAGCTAGAACTCACCATTATATCACATTTGCCCTACACACACAAATGATTGCAACCGCCACTATTTTGCAACGGCTTTCTTCGGCAGTTTAGCGTTGAATGCAACATGCCTAAGGTAAGTTTGGCATTTTGACTTTATTCGTTAGAATTAGGTCAAATTTGTTTGGTTAGTGGATATTAGGTGATACGAATTCATAGGTTCAAACAGAGACGCTCCCCACCTTAATAAAAGCTTCTATTATCTCGATTTCAGGATCATCTCATTACCAAATTGCCATTATACACGAAAGCACCATGCCTGCCTTGTCTACTTGATACCCAATTCCACATCTCAAATCTGGCAACATCACTTTCCGACCCCATATCAAATCAGCAAAATGAATGCTAGAATATGTCTGTAAGGATAACAATACATCTTGATGCAAGCTATGTTGATTGCTTTGTTAATCATACCTTTCTTTCACAAGTACTTTGGAGATAATGAAAACACGTGATTGCCGGCATGTGACTTGCGCTCCGAATAAATAGCAACAGAGAACACGGGAGAAAACAGACAGGAGAACATTACAATTCCGATGATAATATTAACAAAAGACCATAGTTAATAAATAAGGCCCTTCACACCACTAAATATTCGTTTCTGCTTAGGCGGTCTTTAACTTTTTGAGCGACGACGTCCCAACGTTCCTCTCGCATCCCTTCTCGGCATCGAGCTGCCCAAACTCGCTTACTCGTGTATGATCAACCGGATACAGCCTATAAAGTAACGAAAGGGACTATGTATTAAATGAATAGTGCTTCGACTTGCATTCCTGATACCAATTAGCACATGCGAAGTTATGGCACAAAGATAAAAGAATAGTTCTGGGACAACACTAGTAAATTTGTATTTTCGGTGGAAGTTAATCCAAGTCGGGTAATGGCAAAATGTGTTGGTTTTGTGTTGTCTAAAAATTTAGGTGGTTTTATTCAGTTTTCCATGCCATGCTTTTCATACAAAATGCTTATATAAAATCCGATCTGTACGATCTACGATTACCGCACTAGATTTGAAAAGCTGAAACAGAGGACACGATCATGGACGACAAGCAAAACTCTAGTTGAGGACGCAGATTTGAACTCGTACTGCGCAACGTTATTAAGACAAGCAGATAAGCTCCGG